CAAGCTAGGGATTAAAAAAAATTGAATTATGTGGCTCATATATTATATTTGAGAGTAGGATATAATTAAAAGATTGAATTTAAGGTTGCCATTTAGTTTAAATAAGGTTTGATTTGAGGGGCTCTTAGCATATTACCCCTTAATGTTTTTATATAATTCATAATTTTCACGATAATTTGATATAAAAATGGTCTATTACAAATAAGCCCATCTTGGGCTACTTATTTTTAAAGGGGTTTAGACAATTTTTTTTTTTTTTTTTTTACAAAAAAAGTCATCTATAGATATCAGTATGAATTGTTTTTAAATTTTTCCGATCGTAGTCATCTATAGACACCCGTAGGAAACCGTAGTCACCCACAGTCATCTGTGATTACATATTCTTGAAACCCTAACTTCTCATTTGAATCGTAGCTGCCAAACACCCATAGTCACTCACAGATAATTATAGACTTCAAATCGAAAAATCTTAGATCCGCCCCGCCAAACCCTAGATCCCCTCCACCAAACCCAAGACGCGACGCCAATGCCACCGACGCCGCCATCGTCATTCCCTACTCCCAACATCGCCACACCACCGGGACCATCTCCCAAGCCCAGCGCCGCCGCCCAACGAGCGCCATTCTCATGCCAAACGCCGCGCCACCACTAGCACCTTAAATTTTAGGGTATAAAGGCGAGATAGAGATTACAAAATTGAAGGATGCTGGTAATTATTATTTCAAACTAATAATTTAATTAAAACATTGGAAATGTTGTTTTACTTATTGCAAATTGTGTTTTATTTTAGGGCCTGATAGAATATTCATAGTAAAAATAATATTTAAAATCCTCAAAATTCTAATGTTATTCAATTTTAATTTTATAAACTAACTCAAAAGATTCTAAAATTTCCAAAGCTTTACATGTTTATTTTAAGAAAATATTAGCACGACCCCGCTCATTTGACAAATTCATGTAGGAGGGGACCTCCGTTTTTTTAATGGGCAAATGACAAATAGGCCCATGAAAAGGGCACTTAATTAAAAGAGGGACATCCGACTTTTTTATCTTTCAAATAAATTCAACTCATTCAAACTTATATGCGAATAGGGAAAATCCTTTTATATATACCAAAATTACCCCCAATTCATTGAAACCCAATTCAACTCCAATTTCATGATTTATACCCCAATTTAGCCCAATTTCATCAATTAACCAATTTTAACCATAATTTCAATTTTGACCCCAAGTTTTAACTATTACTTGACTTTTTTTTTACTTCAAAAATATTTTAATTAATATTACTGTCTTGGCTGCTAAATTACTGTCTCCAGCAGTTATTTAACTGTCGGAGACAGTAATTTAACTGTTAATTGTCCTTTTTTTTTTTTAATATTTTAATTAATATTACTGTATTCGTTGCTAAATTACTGTCCCCGGTAGTTATTTAACTGTCGGAGACAGTAATTTAACTGCTAATTGACTTTTTTATTCTTAAAATAAATATTTTTAATTAATATTACTGTCTTGGCTGCGAAATTACTGTCTCCAACAGTTGTTTAACTGTCGGAGACAGTAATATAACTGTTAACTGACTTTTTTTTTAAATATTTTAATTATTATTACTGCATTGGCTGCTAAATTACTGTCTTGTTTAGGACAATTATATTACTGTTTGGGAACATAATATTCATAATACTGTCTGAGACAGTAGTTTAGTAGCCAAGTCAGTAATATGAATTAAAATATTTTTTTCTAAGAAAAAACAAATTTCGAAAAAAAAAGTCAACGGCGGAGACCGGCCGGAAAACAATTTCAGAAAAAAATAGTTTTCAGAAAAAGAAAAAAAAAATCAACGCCGGAATCTGGCCGAAAAAAGAAATTTCAGAAAAAAAATTATTTTCTGAAAAAAATATATTTTTTCAAAAAAATATTATTTTTGGGGTTAGTGTGATATATTTGTTTAAATAAGGGGTCAATGTGTATTAGTTTGGGGGTTAATGTGATGTATTTGTTTAAATTCTGGGGTTAATGTGAATTGATAAGAATTATATTATGGAGGGTAATTTAGAGTAAAGACATGGGGATGAGTTTATTTTATAAACTGTTTTCTTTGTGGACCAATGTGCATTTAAGTCCCATGTGATAGGCCTTTTTGCCGTTCGCCTTTTTTAATTTAAGAGAAACCCCTTGGTTGTTAGATAAAAAAAAAAAAAAAGATTGACTAATTAATAGATGTAAACTACCAACATTACCCTTAATGATTTATAAATGCTTAATTCTAGCTTATCGCTTATATTACGTCGTTCTCTCTTCTGTCTCGTATATGAGAATTACTTCTCGTCACACTCTCTTATCTTCTCTTCTCTCTTCGCTCTCTCTCTTTCTCTCGTCTTCTCCGGGATTTTTTTCGCGTTTTCTCTGTTTTGTTTCCAACAGATGGGTTCTTGGTGGCCGCTGTGAGGAGGAAGTAATGGTGGTAACTTTTCCGGCCTTTGTTTGTTGATCCGGTTGAGAGGAACACAGTAGGAGTGTCGTCACGTATTTTAGTTTCGTTGTTGCTCTGTAATTGAGGTAGTTTCAATTTTTCCGTACGTCGAATTCCGGTGAGGTGTTGAGGAGAAAATGGTGAATTGTGATGGCCGCGACGGCGGAGGGCGGTGTTTTTGGTATACGGGGATTGGACGACGTAAACTCGTAGTTCATTAACGTAAGTCAACTATGTAGCCATAGTTGGTAAATCTTCTACAAAATTCATAGCAAATTAACGTAAATCGACTACAAAATTTTCGAAGTAGTTGTATTTTATGTTTCGGGCTCTAGCAGAGGAGTTAAAACTCTGAGGCGTATGGCGGTAGTGCCCTAGATCGGTTGACGATTTCGTAAAATAGTTTTGTGATGGTTTTTCGTGCTGGAAGAATGAGATTTCTTGATGTGAGGATTTGCAGTCGTTGTTAGGGAGAAGTGAACAACAATTTTTGGGATTTGAGTTTTTGAATTTTTGTAAATAAGAGAAAAGAAAACTGCAGTTTCCTCGTGTTTTAGTTTTCGTGAATTTTCTATGCAAATGACAAAATTACCCTCAAGTACAAATGGTATTTCTTAGATTTTTTGTATAAATACATTTCGAAAATTATCTGTTATGAACACTTATCCTCTTAATTTTTTTAATACTTAACCGCATGATACTTTCAGAAATCCTTAAGGATCTCACAAATCACAATATGCCAATTCTTGAAAACGTTACAACAACGTGAAAATTAAAAGTAGTAATAGCAAATTCAACTAATTTATAAAAATAATACTAATTGAAAGAGAGTGCTATAATTTTCGATTTTTGAAATTGGCGCTACAGTACTATTGGTTGAAATATTTTTGCATATACTAAAGTATTATACTTTGATATGTAAAAATATTTTCCGCATGATATAAAAATATAATAGATAATACTGATTTATTGTGTTTCAAGGGTGCAAAGTGCTATGAACTTTTTTTAAGGATGCTAAGTGTCAAAATACTACATTTTTAAGGGTGCAAAGTGGGATTAACGACTTACATTTTTAAACTGAATACAACTTGAACTTTTAACTCAGAATTTCGCATGGAAATTGCATAATTAGATTAAAACCAAAAATAGTTTCAACACATTTATATGTGTACTATTCAGTAATATAAAAAAAATATGGTTTTGCACAAATCTTCATCAAGTGATAGTAAAAAAACTATAGGGAAAATTAAGAAAAACCCCTTGGAGTAAGATCTAATTACAAAAACCCCCCTCTGACCAGGGGTTGACCGTTTAAATTGACAGTAAATGAGTTTTATCCGTTGTACCCTTTTGTTATTTGAAAAAAAATAGGGTAAATAATTACGACAATCCCCTGAAGTACGATCCAATTATGACAATTCCTCCATATTTGCTTAGTTACCAAAATCCCCATGAGGTATGTTGCCTTCTTACACAGACCCCCTACCGTGTTATTTTTGACGAAAAAAACAATATATTTAGAATTATCCTAGTATCCCTCGAAAGAAAGAAGTAAAAAAGCGATTAATAATTTATTTAATATTTACATTTTTCATTTCATTTCTTTAAAATTAAAATGTTATTAAAAAATATGAAAATATTTGTAACCTAAAATAAGAAATACGATTTTTTTTTTCAAAATACGTAAAATTAATTTTATTGAATAAACAATTGTTCCATATTTATCTATTTGTTCGCCTAAATGGCCAATCTAATACATTAGTTAAGCCTCTTTTAGTCTTTCTCTACAAATAAGGCAGCTTCTCGGGTTGCAGATTATATGAGCTTATTGCATTTACTACCCTTGTGAAAATCGCAACTGTGCATTTTTCCCATGTCATAAAAAAATCATTAAATACCCCCCTGTATTTATTAGTCATATTGTAAATCATGTGTCTCACTCACGGTTTCTGCGATTTTTCTTCCCTTTTTTTTTTGCGTGAAATGACATAATTACCCCAACTTCTTTTCTTTCTTTCCTGTTACCCTTGCCGTTCGTACT